AGGGAATAGAAATCAGTATTGTAAGGATGAGAATGCTGGAGATATTTGTTAAACAATGCTATATGCATAAAGCTTCCAAACTGTGTGTTTAAAATGGTTAGGGTGGGTATCATTGTGTGGTTTGTATCCAAATTAATGATGGAAAATTAATATATCACATGTCATGTTTTTAGAAAGACATGCCCATAAAAATATTTGATTAATGAATATTACCCTCAAGTTTCTCCTGCATATGTCACATTTTCATCTTATCTGAGAACATTTCTTGGAATATTGATTCTCCAACTGCTTCAGTTTATCTCATGAAATGCTGGTACGCACTCAAACACTTTTATTTAAACTATAAAGATTTTTACATCGCTAAAAATATATATTTCATTTAAAAATTCTATTTATCATTTACTGATGATTATGTATTTAAATATATTATTTATCATTTAAAATTGTGCTTCCCAGATATAAAACAGTATAAAAGTTGTACATGTTAATATGATAGCATATTCCATAGCATCATGTGCCTCTCTATTAGATAGTGTTTAAACCAAGATAACCTCTTTCATCTCCTGAATCATTTCCTGAGTTCTGTGATGGAAACATCTAAACTCCCTCCAGTTTTTTGAGGTACATGCTCCTGACACAGGTACTCACTGCTCTGAGAGTATACGTTGTCATTTGAACTACCTCAGCTCAGCCCCCGGTGGCCAGCCTTTCTTGTCCCTCCCCACAGCACTGACCACATCAACATTCTACTCCAAACTTCCATGAAGTCACTTCTTTGGATGAAACACATGAGGGAGCTTGTTCAGTACATGTGTCATTATTCAGGGTCATTCTACTCAACATCGGGTCTCCCTGAGTTTCATCTATGTTGCCACAAGGGACAAACTTTTGTTTGTGTTAATGTCCTTTCAGACTTTTCTGAGCCATTCTTTCCTACCCAAGAGACACCCCACTGCAACACTGTTTCTCTGGTCGGTTGGTATTAAGCATTTTTCATGGACACACACATATACACTGGCCCACATGCCTGCACTCACACACATAAACACATACCTGTATATTCTTTGAGAAGTGCCTGTTTGGGTCTGTTCTCTATTTTTCATTGATTGGTTCAATTTTGGGTTATTGTGTTCTCTTGAGATTTCACGTGTTCTGGGTAGTCTATTCCTTGTCAGATGCAAACGTGTTAGACCATTCCGTAATTTGTCCCTTCACTGTGCTGTTCCTTTTGTTGTGCACAAGTTTTTAGATACACGTAATTCCATTTGTCTATTTTTACTTTTGTTTCCCATGATTCAGGCACTTTTCCAAAAAAAAAAAAAATCCTTTTCCATTTCAATGTTCCAAAGCATTTTCCCTATGCTTTTTTTTCTATAATTTTGTATGGTTTCAGATTTTACCCTGAAATCTTAATTTGAACTTGAGTTTATTTCTGTAACTGGGTAAGAGGGTTCGAGGTTCCTTTACCACGTGTACGGTGTTTTATTTTCCCTGGAGAGTGGCCTTTCCTCTAGCTGCTGGAGTAGAGTGCATGTTTTCATCATTGGTAAATATGGCAGGCTATGGGTGTCTCAGTCTGCTTTCAGGTACTCCGTGCTATTCTGCTGGTAGGTACAGGCTCCCTGAGCATTTTAAAAGCAGCATTTTCATTTAATGTTATGCATAAGTTTATTCTAGACCTAAGGGAATTATTTGTCTTGTGCTTATTTTTTTTTAGAAAAGAGCAGGTTTTAATAAATGGAAATTCAATACTATGAACTATCATGTCAATGTAATCATTTAATTATGCAACTTTCTTATAGCCATTTTATTATCTAATTTAAATAATTTCATTTAAATGGTTATTTTATTTAATTTAAATAAGTACTTAATTAAATTGTTTAAATTATTTTTATTAATTTAGGACAGAAAATTCAATGTATTAATTACCTTGAGAAAATAAAGTACATGGTTATCCATATTACAAAGCTTGTTTTTTGTAACTGTTAAGATGTGGAAAGAGGCAGGCATTTTATGTCAGATGAGGGGGTTCCATGGTGATTGTTCAGCAGAGTAGCCCCGGATTATGTCCAATTTCCCTTGTGCAATGCAAATTAGATCGGCCTTGGGCCATCTGGAGGGAGGTCAAAGTCACCCAGGGAAGCCCTTCAGGTGAATCAGGCAAGATGGACCAGGTCCACACAGGCTGGCAGACACAGAGTCAATCCTCAGGAAGAATGTGGGGCCATGAGAGTCACAAACCCCTCTGTGCCCGGCAGCTCCTCCTGCAGGCTCTGCCCTAGTGTGTTTCCAGGGCCACAGGGGAAGCTGGCAGACTCCAAGCTTTCTACACCTCCCTGGACCCCAAGAGCAAAGTGTCTCCCCCCAGTTCCAGCTGTAAGACTTGGTGAAGAGCAGAGGGCGAGTTTTGGAAACCACCACCTCCTCCCCGCCTCACCCCCACTCCCACCCCCGCCCCGGCCCCGACACACCACACCAGGCAGGGACATTTGCTTCCAGACCGGACCTTTGCGCTCAGATGCCCATTGGCATCTGCGTCTGCGCACTGGTGACGCAGACAGCCACGGTGTGGGGCGTGTACAGCAGGGGCAAAGGGCCTGGGTGGGTCCAAACAGATGTGCAGAGACAGGTATCTGGGGGCTACATGGAGCCAGGAGGGGCGACCGACCTTCGAGCTAGAACACTTCCCGCTAGCAACTGAACCATTTGGAGCCCACTTCCTCTGATGGAACCGATCAGCAGCTCCGCTCCGCACACAGGCGTCCAGGAGGGGTGTGGCGAGAGGCAGCTCCGGTGCTGCCACTTTGGGGGGAGTTTCTTCTCCCTGCGACCTACAGGCTGGGAGCACCTGGTCCTCTAGAGGTTGGCATCACCAACTTCTTTCCTGTGGCCTAAAGACTGATTGGGATAAAGCAGACACTGCCCCGCCTCCTCCCTAATGATTGGGATGAAGCAGGCATTGCCTCCGCCTCCTAGTCGCTCTCTAAGTGGCTCTAAGGAACAAGGCACATCACAGACTGGTACCAGCTCAAATCCTGCTTGAGTGATTTAGACTCCACGTCCACCCAGGTCCCGGTCCAAACTGAGGCGATGGTAAACCCAGTAGCTTCTTTCACAGCCATGGCTCAATAGGTTGCCACCCCAAGCGTCTGACATGGGGATGGAGGCAGATGAACAGAGGCCAGAATGCAGAATCCAGGGCTTCCTCCTTCCTCTTGGCTGCTCTCTTCAACCAGGAACTTCTATTTCAGTGAGCCAAAGAAGGAACACTGCTCTAGACTTCTCGATTCAGCTAGCCTCACATCAAACTGTTAAAATAAATACTAAAGTTGATCTTGATATGTTTTGTGTGCTGTTCCACTTGATTAAGTTGGGATCCCGCTGTGTGGCCCAAACTAACCTGAGACTCACTCCTGATCCTTCTCGCCTCAGCCACCCCAGGGCTGGCATGACCTGCATGCACCAACCAAACCTCGCCTCTTTACGGATGTCAATCTATGGATTTTAGAAAATATTTAAGGTCTTTTCCCTCCTCACCAAATCTTTCCGGGAGTGTTCACCACCAAGAGCAAAAACACTGTTTCCTAAGTTCCCCGTTCCACTGAGTCTGAGCAGATCTCTCATGGTCAGGGCCAAAGTAGGGGGAAACTCTGTGGTCCTCCTCCAGGGGAAGGCAGGAGAGGAAGTAGAGGGACCGGGGGGGGGGGGGGGGGGGAGGGACGGTGCAGGTTAGGGAGGGAGGGAGGAAGAGGGTAGGGAAGGCAAGAGGACCAGAAAAGGAGGGTGGGGGTGGGCGTAAGGGTTGGGGCGGAGCTAGAGCCCCATAGTGGCTGTCTTTCCGGAGATGGCCGCTAGAGGGAGACATGCTGGGCAGTACAGGTGGAATAAGAAAGGAGCCGGTTGTCTGGAGGAATTTGTCGTGATGTCGCTTTAAAAGGCTTCAAGTGAATACAAAGAAGGGAGCCCACAGAGGAGAAAATCCAGTAGTGCCTGGCTTTCGCCCTCAGCTTCCTCTAGTGTTGAGATCTTGCGTTTTTCAGCATTCTCAGCTTAATATTAGGAGTCCGCAGGGACGCAGGAAAGGGCGCAGACCTTAAGGATGGAGCTCTGACCATCTTGCCTTTTCCTAAAACAGACTGAGAAAACGCGGTAGAAATGGGAATTTTTTTCCTTTTATCTTCTTTTGCCTTCCCAGTTATATATCCAATCTCTGCTTAATCTGACTCTGTGTCTTTAAAATATCACGTCACGGTGCTTGAAAACGTAAAATCAGTGCGAAACGGACTCATTTTACACACATGTAGAGATACTTTCATTTCTCACAGCCAACTTGGAAATTGCTACGGAAACCTTGGAATACGTCACTTAACGCAAGCTGGGTTTTTTTTCCCCCCTCTCTCTCTTTTTCTTTCTTTCTTTTTAAGGAATACTACTCCCCCCTGCAAAAGCTCTTAAGTCATTGATGAGTGTCAGAAAGTAAGGTGGTCATGGGTCTGGGGCGCTGGATGCGTGTGGGACGTTTGAACACGTGGACATTTTCCACTTACTGTCCCTGGGTTGAGAAGTAGGCAGTGGGGGCTGCGGGGAAGTTAGCATGTTATCTTCACAGAGATTTCAAGACCGGACAGTCTAAATCATTTTGTAGCTAAAAGGATGTCTCGGTGGGTTTGAGCTCGGCCAAATGAATCAGTGATGACTCAAGAGCAAGCCAGAAAAGTGTCTTTTCCCAGAAGCAGGTGTTGAGCGCCTGGGCGACCCAGTCAGCGGGCGCGCGCGCAGAGTGGCCAGAGCCCCCTCTGCTCCACCAGCGCACCGCGCGCGGTGCCGCCCTGCAGGACCCCGGGGGACTCGGACCCCGTGCGCCATCCGCGCTCCCACCCCCACCTGCACCCGGAGCTCTCCGTGGCCCTGGCGGCAGACTCGGCCGAGCGAGCGAGCGAGCGAGCGCTGCAACCGGTGGGGCGGGGAGACCTGGCGCTCGCCCCGCGGGCCCGGCAGCCTCTGACGTCCTCCTCTCGGGCCTTTAAAGGAGTGGGTCGCTGCGCAGGAGAGACTCGACTTTGGAGCTGTCACTTTGCGGGGAGGGAGAAAGCCGCTCCGCTCCGGCAGGCGACAGCGCGGACGCCACTGTGGCCGGCCACTGCGTAGGGACGGGGTCGGATCAGCGCTGTGTCCCAGCATCCTAGGCAGCCGGAGTTGCGTTGGTCACTCTCGCCTGGCGGTGAACCTTAGGCGTCCCCGCGCCTTCCCCTGCACACGCATACCAAGGACCATGAGGTGCGCCCGCGGTCGCCGGTAGAGCACAGAGCCATCTCCCGGGCTCAGGTGCCTAGTGATTTTTCTCCCAGCCCGGAAAGGCGCCTCTGGGAATCCGCACCTGCAACTTGTTTGGTTTCCTCTCCCGCAGCGTGTGCAGCGGCAGCATCAAAGTTTCTCTGCCTTCCTCGGGAATCCGCCGTTTGGATCGGTCCTTCCCGCGCGGTCTCCCCAGGCCTGCGGGTGAGCGGATCGCCGGGCGCTCGGGTGAGAGGCGCGGCACGGGCGGCGTGGTCGTGGCGAGCTCGGGGAAGGAGCTGCGGCCGGGGATTCCCCGGCTGACCCTTTGGGGTGCGACGGAGCTGGGTGAGCGCAAGAAGAGGAGCTACAAGGTTCAGGGACGCCCGTGCCCTCACAGTGGATGTTAATCACCTTGCTGATTGCTTCTCAATTGGGAACTAGTGGAGAGCGCAGCGCGGGGCAGGCGCGCTCTGCGGGACCTGGGCTCCGCGGCAGGGATCAGTGCAGCTGTGGCTGCGGAGGCACCGAGGGAGGACGCCGCGGTGCTCGCCGGAGCCTGAAGGTAGGCAAGGGGTTGGGATCCCGACTCTCAGGCCCAGCTCAGAATTAAAGAAAAAACCGCGTCTGTGTTTCCTGCAACCTAGTTCTCACCCTCCTCTCTCTGCGCACCCCTTCTCTTGGGAACCCAGGGGACCCAGGACTTGGCCAGGCGCGACCTCCATTGCCCACCGGAATGCCCAGGGCTAGCTCCTTCAGCGGCCCTGAGCTGCGGTCCTTGAGCTTCCCAGAGAAGTTGATATACCTTGAGATTTTGGTGATGGCTAACTTGATCAGATGTAGTTTATTAAAGGATGTGTTTCCTGTGGGCAAGAATTATGGGAAATTAATGTCACTGTCATTTACAACTGCTAGCACAGCTCAGTATCCCCTTCCTTCTCCCCCAAAAGTTTCCCGTAGCAAGTTTTCTTAACGTCCAGATGAAGTCAATTGAGGCTTGAGGTTTCCATGTTGGCAGGCAGAAGGAAGATGCGGCTTTTTAGAAGGGTAGGATAAAGGACATAGTGTGTTCATATTCATTCATATTCTCTCTCTCTCTCTCTCTCTCTCTCTCTCTCTCTCTCTCTCTCTCTCTCTCACACACACACACACACACACACACACACACACACACACACACACACACACTTCTGCAATGTACAGAGTGCAGGCACAATGACAACCTTTGCTGTTTCCAGACCTGGAAGTTTTTTGTTGTTGTTGCTTTGTTTTAATTTAAAATATCGGACTTTTCAGTTAAGAGTGGTAAGTGGTAAGAGCACTCTAGATAATTCTGTGGTAAGAACAGACTAGACATACATGGTAGAAGTTCATAAAGAGTGTGTAACTGAGCTGGACTATTGTATAGTAGCTAAAAATATGAGTGGCCCCAAGTGATCAAAATGACTACTACATTTTGGGAAATGATATTTTTAACAGTGGTCGGTGTGGAGGGGGATTTAAAAGTCAACGTTTCCAAAATTACTCAGGCGGAGAGACTGTGGATGGAAAGATAGAGTTAACTTTCAGAAGGTGGCTTGTGGAAAACCAGGGCTTGGTGCTTCGGAACTACATATGGTAATCACTGAAATAAATGAACTAGTTAGTATTCCAGGCTTGCAATGCTTGGCTCCACAGAGAGACTGCTGTTACATTTCATTTCCAATCTCATTTGTGGTAATAGAATAATGTTGGATGGGTTTATCCACTTCCTCACGTGTGTGTTGTCAATTCCAAGATGCCCTGCAAGGCAGAGAGGCAGGAGGTCCAAGATGTAGCCTTTAAACCTTTCTCCTCCTCCCACTGAGCTCCCTTCCCGGGATGCTCCACTCTCCCTCTCTGTCTCTCTCTGCTCTTTTTCTTCCCTTCTTCTCTACCCCCATTTGTTTTCATTTACTCCCATGGCTTGTGGTTTCTCAGTCAGTGCCTTCTGCTCTTGTGTTCTTCCTCACAGGGCAGCCCAGAGCGAGGAGTTTCCTGAATAAGTTAATAACGCATTTTGTGGACATGTGGAATCCCTTCCCAGATACTGAGTAGAGAAGGCAGCCTTCTGAGCTACATAGGAGGTGCCAGTGTGGTCCACAGAGGAAGGAAGAGTAGAATTCACAGGAAGTCATGCTAAGTCAGAAAGAAATAGGAACTCTACTTAGGGCGAATTGAGCCTGTAAAGAGAAGGCAATTGAACACCAATTAGGAAAGGTGTAAGTGTGAGCCTGTATGCGCTCACACGTGTGTGCAAAGTGTGAGTGCTCTTCAGCAGGAGTCAGCCTTATGTGAGATCTCTGTGAGGAGATGTATCTCAGGGCAGATCCATAACTTCAAAAAATAGTTGAACCTCCCAGGAAAACAAGCTCTCCTATGCAGCAGTTTACAAATGAATGATTTATTCTCAAGAATAAACTCCTCAAGTGTAATAGTTGTTTTCTTTAATGTTTATTCCCGAGGCTGAAGGACAGCTGGGCCCTAACAGAGGTTCAGGAATTTCTGGTTCACTGGTTCCGGTTTAGTCCCTTGGGTGACTCTGATGTCCTAATTCAAGAGACATCCTGTGACCAGTACAGGCTCAGTACTTTGCTGATGGACCAGCTTTCCATCAGCAATCCATGAGGCAAGGTCAGTAGGTGCATTTCTAGGACATTCTTATCTCCTTGAATTTACTTTGTCTTCCCTCATCCACACAATGGAGTCTTCTGTCTGTCCTCTGGGGAGGTGACTTTTCTCCAGTGCTAATGTGTCATTTGTAACATGCTTCAGCTCATGATTTATTTTTTTAAATATGAATGTATTGATGAGTCTGGATACAACTTGATAAAGATACTGATGATGATAACTTTATAAATGTACTAAGGAGTCTGACTAGATGACAATTTGGTCAATATATGGATGAGCATGATTATATAATACTTGGAAGTAATGATTGTGAAGTGCATCTTACTGGGGAAGAATACATTTTTAAGTACTTTAAAAATTGATAGATTATTTATATATTTTCTTAATGGTGAAAACCAGTTGATGTAACTTCTGTAACAATATATAAACCAACATTTAAATACATAGTATTAAAAATGCCAACAATGAGGTTTTTTTTGTCTAGGAATATGTCTTCCATTAATAACAAAGCTTCAGGAAGGCACTGTGAAAGTAAGGAGGATGTTTTAAGGGTAACTGGACACACTGACATTTCTTTGCTCTGTTTTGGTATTTTCATGAAACTCATCAGACCTTCCAGTGTCCATCCAAAGGACATTGGTCACCTTATATCATGGCATTCTGTGTGGTGAGCATCGGCTGGGCAGTGTCAAAGTTTGTTGCTTAATGATGCCTGCTTATCCCATACTCCTTTTGTCAGTTGCAAGCATTTGTAGATTTCTACCACAGAAGTTACATAGTAAGAACACAGCAGTACATCTGGAAATAGGAACTGTGTGTGTGTGCACACACACGCATACACAGGTACACGCAAACCCATGTAGATTTATATATGCCACTTGACTCAATTGGCCTTTCCTAGAGTGTCACATGCTCTGTCTAAGACTTGGTTGGCTACCCTTTTCATCTATGTGCATCTAGAATTTACTTTTTGAATGTAGCTGGCATGCTCTCATGAAAGGTGTCTTCTCAGGATGACAAGCTTATAAGCTTATTTCTGAGTTTTGTGTTTGTGTTCTCTTGAGCCTCCAGAGACCTCTTTAGATATGTGGTAGGTGGTGCTCTAAGGAACTCTGAGAAGGAAATCATGGGAGGAACTAGCTGAATCCTAGCAAGGCAGTCTAAGCAGAAAGGAGGACTGCTTTTCCCTAGAATTAACCCCACCACAGGTGTGCTGAGCGCTAAGAAGATGGGATACACAGCAGCCAGCACTCCTCCCTTAGTAAAATGGCTTGGGTAAACAGACACAGCCCTGATCACCAACAAGGTCCCCTCCATGCAAACAATATAAAGGGGCTTGTGTTGTGGGGTATCTATAGACTCCTTCCTCCCCACCCATGGGGCGAGAGAGAATTGCCACATGGTGGCACCATTGTGATGCCTACCATTCTGAAAATGTCCATGCTGAAACCTCTTCAGCTGAAGTCAAGCCAATGGCAACACTGGAGTTTTCTCTCATCTAAAACTAATAAGTATTAGATAAGGTATCTCATTGTTCACTACCGGCAAGGGTTTTGTTTGTTTGTTCTTTAAATACTTCATCTCTGAGAAGATGAAATCAGGACTCTTTATCAGGTCAGTCCTTTCTCGTTGATAATTAGAAGATGGGATTTGTCTTCTCATACTTATGATTATACTTATATGTGGGGGAAGAGGGAGGGAGGGAGGGAGGGAGAGAGAGAGAGAGAGAGAGAGAGAGAGAGAGAGAGAGAGAGAGAGAGAGAGAGAGAATGTCACGTGTCTGAGGAGGTTAAAAGAAAGAATAGGGTCCTTTTGGAGCTGGAGTTACAAATAGTTGTGAGCTGCCCAAAGTGGGTGCTGGAAACTGCACTCAGGTCCTCTGAAAGAGCAACAAGTGCTTTCAACTGCTGAGCCATCTCTCTGGTCCCAAAGAGGAAATTTCTGAAGATGATTTTGCATCTATGAGAAATACCCATTTCTCAATCAATGATACTGCTGTGTGCAATCTCCTTTCTCTCTTAGGTTCTTAAATTAAAATGACTCCTCAAACATACCCCCTCTGTGTTTACATTGAATTTATACATGCTACCTCAAAATTGAATGTATCTATTAAAACTAATAAGATATCAGATTCCTTAACAGGCTTGCTTTTCATTTTAAAAAAGACCCACTAGGAAAAGATAAATCTTAGCATGTACCAGCTGTATTCAGGTACTTCCATAGAACCATTACCAACACATCACAGACAATAAGTCACTTACACATAAGGCCAGCTGTTGAGTCTTTTAGACATCTATGGATTTCACATCCCATCCCTAGAGAACCCAAGATCATCCAAAGCCGTAAGGTTAAAACAGGAGGCAAGGACATCTGTGAAAACTCAGATTTGAGCAAGAAGAGTAGAACATTAATATTGATGATATACAGACAGCAAACCATGTGGGTGGGTTGCATGCCAATCCTTTTTTTATTTTCTAACCGACTGTTGGGGTTTCCAGTGGGGTCAGACTAGAAAGACATCATTGTAGCAAGTCTTGAACCCTCCATGCAGGAGGAAGTCAGGTGTCTGGGTTCAGTCCATATTTTCTTTGAGAGTTGGGAAGTTGCTTGATATTTTCCTTGAGCTTTGTTTGCCAGTTTGAAAAAAAAAATACGTTTTATGTATTAGTAACTAAAAACTCCATTCCAGGTGAGAAGTGACTTTTTCCTTTATAACCTGTTGCCATAAAACTTAAAATGGAAATATATTTATCTTCTGAGAAGTACTTTTCCTTGGCCACCTCTTAGCAAAATGCCTGTAATTGGCCAACCATATAATTAAAATAATGTCATACTTTTTGTATTTTATCCTTTAATATATTTTTAATTGAAATAGAATTTCAAAACTTTCCTCCTCCTTTCCCCTCTCCAACACCC